TTTAAAACGGAATTATCTAAAAGTAGATGGAGTGATATACTTATCTACAAAAATGACATAAATGAAAACTACAACGCTTTTGAAAACCACATTAAATGCATACTAAATAAAACCATACCTAAAAAACTTATCAAAGTAGGACCTAAAAAGAAAACAACATGGCTGACGAAGGGTTTACGAAAATCGTGCAAGGTAAAAAGATTAATGAAAACGTTGGTTAATCAAACAGATAGCTCGATTCTTAAAATATACTATAATAAATACCAAAAGATGTTAAAAAAATGCATAAGACTATCCAAGAAAAATAATTATACTAGAATTATGAATAAATCAAATAATAAACAAAAAACTATGTGGAACATAATAACTGACGTGACCAAACATGATAAATCACAAAAATTTAAAACAATAAAATTAGTCCGCGAAAACGTAGTAATAGAACGACCCCTAGATGTTGCAAATACTTTTAATAACTACTTTGCGTCGATAGGTGAGTCACCGCAGTGTGCGCGGTCGAGCTATAGCTCGTCATCCCCGCCGCCGCCGCCACCGCCTCTGACCGTTCGCACAACTAACTCATTCTACCTACAACCGGTTACTGAGCGAGAAATACAGCAAATTATTAAACTGCTACCTAGTAAACATAGTTATGGCATTGATGAGATCCCAAACGTATTAGTTAAAATGTGTATGGAGGAATTGTCAGCCCCACTTGCGTTATTGATTAATCAATCATTTACAGAAGAGTGTTTCCCGGACAAACTAAAAATTGCGAAGATAAAACCGGTTTTTAAAAAGGGTGGAAGTAGGGAAAATATGAGCCATTATAGGCCTATTGCTCTATTGTCCGTATTTTCAAAAATTATAGAAAAATCTATGACAAATCGCGTGTATAAATTCATAGAAAAATATAACTTACTTAATGACCACCAGTTTGGTTTTCGCAAAAAACGATCTACTACACAGGCAGTAATCAAATATATCCAAGAAGCGCTAAACTATATTCAAGACAAACACTACGCCGTCAGTATATTATTAGATATGACTAAAGCATATGATAAAGTTTCACACAGCATATTACTGTCAAAATTATACGATATCGGGATTCGAGGAGGTGCGCATAACTGGTTTAGGTCATATCTAAAAAATAGGGAACAGTTCGTAGAAATAGACTATATCAACAAAGATACGCGCATGATAGAAACAGCCAAATCTGAAACAAAGTATACAAATGGTCTATACCCCAGGGCAGTGTAACTGGGTGTATCCTATTTATTATATATATAAACGAACTACCTAATGTACTGAATTCCACATGCATAATGTTCGCGGATGACGTTTCCTTATTATTTAAATGTAAAGACGACACAGAAAGCCGAAATAATATAATAAAATCTTTTACTAGTGTAAAAAAATGGCTGACAGATCATAACTTGGAAATAAACCTTGCGAAAACAAAACTTATACAATTTAGACCGAGACAAAAAACAGAAATAAACCTGAATACTGTTACGCAGCATCTTAATATAGAACAAGCTTGTGAGTTTAAGTTATTAGGCATTACAATAGATACACATTTAACTTGGGACCATCATGTCGAAAAAGTAAAATGTAAGCTTTCACAATTTACGTATGCACTGTCTACGCTTAAAACAAACACCCATCATCAGGCGTCGCTGGCTGCATACTACGCCTATGCCTACGCTTGGATTAGGTACGCCGTGTTGCTATGGGGGGATAGTGTCCGGGCACACGATGTCTTCGTGCTACAAAAGAAGTGCATGCGTATATTGTTCGACATAAAACCGCGAGATAGTTGTAGGCCGTATTTCGTAAAAGAAAAGATTTTACCTTTAGCTTGTATCTTCATTCTTGAAGCCGCTATTTTTGTAAGAAAAAATATTAACGAATTTCAATTCTGTAAAAGCGCTAGACGAAATAAAATACTAGAACTACCGAAAGCAAAAATGCAAATAGTAAAAAACGGTCCACACTATAAATCTGTAAAAATATATAACAGAATACCACAAGACATCAAATCGGCAGCAGAAGACAAATCTTTTTATAGCAAATTCAAATCGTTACTTCTAACAAAATGCTACTATACTGTTGATGAATTCTTACACGATCCAGTCTAATGTAAACCTAACTACCTACTTTTTAGTCATTTGACATACTTTAAAATAATTATTAAATTATTGTGACATTAGTGCCTAATATTATAGTTTAAAATGAATTTAACCATTATTTCTAGACATGCTTTAAAACTACTATAAATGGTAATATTTTATTTATAGATTATGTGTACCTAAATTGATTTAACTTTTGACATGGACTTTTGAATTCTATTGCATTGTATGTACCTGTATATTTTGACATTTTAATTTTAAACATATCATTTAATTACTAATTTATAATGTATTACTTAGCTGACATGAACAAGATTTTTTATTTTTATATAATTATTATTTGAATGAAGTGTAATATTTAATCAATTTTATTTTTAAGTTTTTAATACTGTACGCATGCATGTTTTTCAATCTTGCGATGCCCTGATGGGTTCATGTACCAAACTGCTATTGTAAATTTTATAACTTTAAGCTTGTACATGAAAGCATGAATAAATTGAATTGAAATTGAATTAAATGACATTGAAAATCGGACCCGAAAAGTTGAAAATCTTGCAAGAAATGTATGTTTATAATCAAATAAGCTCTCCTTTTTGATGCTCTCCTTAGTCATTATGTCTATGTTTTTAGGGTTTCGTAGTCTACTAGAAACCCTTATAGTTTCGTCATGTCTGTCTGTCTGTCTGTCTGTCTGTCTGTCTGTCTGTCTGTCTGTCTGTCTGTCTGTATGCCGCGCCCTCATATCTTCGTCAGTTTTAGAGCTATCGACATGAAATTTAGTGAGAAGATAGATCGTGTTGACCCAAATATAGAAATGTTAAGAAAAAAATATTTTAAATGTTTTTTGGACCCCCTCCCATACAAGTGAAAGGGGGGCAAAATTTTTTTTTTTCTTCTGTAATATTGAGTAGGGTATCGTTGAATAGGTCTTTTAAAACTAAGGTGAGGTTTTTTTGAAACAAATTCTCTAAAATGTTTCTGTCACGAGATATTTGCTTTTAAAAAGGCCTTTTTTGACCCATAATTTGTTCCAGCTGTAACTTCTAAAGTATAAACGCTAAAAATTTGAAATAAATATGGAATATAGCTTACAATCTGAAATTACAATAAAAACTATAACGGATATCGTACCCTTAAAGGTTTCAGGAAAAATTGAGTTTTTCTATTTGCGGTTGGTCATCATACTGCTGCTAACAAACCAGCAACAAAATTAAGTTTGTAATGCTGAAAAACCTGGTATTTAAACGTTGACTACGAAACCCTATTTGTGGGCGTGTCTGACACGCTCTTGGCCGGTTTTTTTTTTCTTTCAGGGAAGTTTCCTTTGTATTTTATGAACTTTTAATGTTGACTAATTACATGCTTTAGCAAAATAACCTGGAAAACGTTTTCCTATCTGATACACTATCTCCAGCATCGAAAAACAAACGACATTGTTCATTAGTTCACCGCAGTTTTCCCGGGCTTCCAAATTCAAATTCGCAAAAAGAACTCATCTTCGCCATAACGGTTTGCAATAAAGGAGCGCTCTGATTGGCTAGCAGACACACGCGGCGCGAGACGGAGGGTGCATTCGCAAGGTACAGAAATATGTGGCCGGTACTAAACATTAACGATTATAGTCGCCAAGTCACGTCTAATTGCAGCTGGGGATGGGCGCATGCGGAATGAATCAATCGAGTCCCTACAATATACAACATAGTATTATACACCATAATACTGGCCGTCAGAGTAATGTACGACGTGATGAAGCACGACATGGCGGATGGCATCAAAACAATGTCGCTATCCATCACCCCGTACCGAAAGTGTACGATGGATGGAGACATCACGTGTTGTGGTAGAATAGTGATGTGACTAGATCGATAATATTATATGCATTTCTAGCTTAATCGATATTGTTTTTATATTAAATATGTTCATTAGTAAGCTTGTTCGCTCACTTCGTTCGCTCCAGGGGGTCACTGTTCTAACCTAACCTAACCTACTGTGTCGGATTTGTGTTAAATGTGTTTTATTACTGCGGGGGGCTGCGCCCCCCAAACCCCTCCTTGTGGGGGGGCAAGCCCCCCCGTCCCCCCCTCCGTGGGTTGCCTTGCATGTCATGTCCGAATAATGAATCGATAAGTCGATCAAAGTCAACACTGTCACATCACTACATCCGCTGTGACGTCATTTGTTATGATTCCATTTCCACCCCTGTACATTATCGGTCCGGGCCCGTATTTCAAGACCATCCATCCATCATGTCGTACAATGATCTGCTGTACAATACGCTGCCGTGCCTTAAGCTACTGTGCATTGAGTATGTCGTACATTGTGGTTCCCCAATCAATCTACCTCTCTTCGTGTGGGACACCGAGTTGATCAACGACCTGATGAACCCTGGTGTCAGAGTTTTTCAATCGCCTACTGCAAGTAGCAGGCCTCTGACATGGTTGTGTAACGACCTCCATCATAGACTACATCCGGGACCGAAGGCTTAAAGTGTCCATCCGAAGCAATGAAACAATGCAAGTATCATTTTGCTAAGGCGAGAAACACACGAAACGTCAGTTTGTGCGATAGTTTTTCACGCGATCGCAGCGCGATCGAATGCTTTAGGAAAATGTGATTTCCTTAATGCGAAATTTAAGAGCTTGGCTCTTGTCGGTGGAGTAACCGCCATTCTTGTCTTCCTTCCGGCAGTGATTTGACATGCTAATTTTCTAGGTACCTTATTTTTTTAAATTGTGGTTTATGTCAAACGGTTTGAGAGAAGCATTTGCTAGCGCTGCACATCGCACAATGCTGCGGCAATGGATGAGTCTGTCAAGCTGTTTGACAAAGAGCATATTTATAAATTGAAAACGAGAAAATTGAAAAAATAAGTACGACCGCCGGGGCTTAAACCCAGGACCGTGGGGTACCGTCCCACCACTCTGCCAACTGAGCTACGATCGCCTGATGGACCCTGATGCATTTCTCAACCTCTTGATGCTCGTCTCAAAGCGAAGGAAGCTAGCCCAAGCGGTCGCTAATAAGTTTTTTATTTTTTTCATTTTCAATTTATGAGAATGATATAGCACTGTAAATGTATTAAAAATGCCATTACATTGGATATAGTAATTCGTATGGTTGTATTGTCGTAACGCATGTGTTACGCTGCGCAAGAAAAGCGCACAAAGGGACGCTACATGCGTCTTTCGCCTAAAAAATACCCTGTAAGTAAAGTAACCCTGTAACTTCTGTAACTCTTGGTTCTCCACCTGCATAACACCGTCCCTGCTAATTGTAAGCGCGCGTTATCGCGAGACAAACGCGTTCGCTGCAACGCATAACCATTACACTTGTCTGTCAAACCGTTTGACATAAGTAAGGCATATCTACTCGTGTGGGAGTAAGGTCAAAACAAAATTGTCTTAATGGATGCGTTACGGTGCTGAAAAATACGCACAAACGGACGTTACATGTGTTTCTTACCCAAAAATACCCTAAGTAAAGTAATCCTCAAACTTCTTGGTTCTCCACCTGCATAACACCGTCCCTGCTAATTGTAAGCGCGCGTTATCGCAAGACAAACGCGTTCGCTGCAACGCATAACCATTACACTTGTCTGTCAAACCGTTTGACATAAGTAAGGAATATCTACTCGTATGGGAGTAAAGTCAAAGCACACATTGTCTTGATGCATGCGTTACACTGCTGCAAAAAGCGCACAAACGGACATTACATGTGTTTTTGGCCAAAAAATACCGTGTAAGTATGTAACCCCCTAACTTCTTGGTTCTCCGCCTGCATAACACCATCCCTGCTAATTGTAAGCGCGCGTTATCGCGAGACAAACGCGTTCGCTGCAACGCATAACCATTACACTTTTTGATCAAACCGTATGACATAAGTAAGGCATCTACTCGTATGGGAGTAAGTCAAAAAAGCGCACAAACGGACGTTATATTTGTTTCTCGCCTAGAAATACCCTAAGTAAAGTAATCCTCAAACTTCTTGGTTCTCCGCCTGCATAACACCGTCCCTGCTAATTGTAAGCGCGCGTTATCGCGAGACAAACGCGTTCGCTGCAACGCATAACCATTACACTTGTCTGTCAAACCGTTTGACATAAGTAAGGCATATCTACTCGTATGGGAGTAAGGTCAAAACACACATTGTCTTAATGCATGAGATACGCTGCTGCAAAAAGCGCACAAACAGCCGTTACATGTATTTCTCTCCCAAAGAATTCTCTGTAAGTATGTAACCGTCTAACTTCTTGGTTCCCCACCTGCATAACACCGTCCCTGCTAATTGTAAGCGCGCGTTATCGCGAGACAAACGCGTTCGCTGCAACGCATAACCATTACACTTTTTGGTTGCGCGAAATTAGCGCCTTTTTGCACCGTCTCCGTATGGTGATAGCAATTGGAATTTGTCTGTATTGCCGGGAAGGCTGGTTCTTTTCTGAATACTCTTTGTTCGTTTTCATATTGTGGTCTAGGTAGTGATTATTGTTTATAGATATGTCGGATAGTTCATCGGGTCTTTTGGAGAAGGTTTCGTCTACAGGGTGAAAGGAAAGTATGTCATATTTAGGGAAGAGATGTTAGTTCTATGGTTTATCTACCTACATGCACCCTATCAGTATTTCGAAGGCTGTTCCCTGCACCCTGTATATTTTTTCAATTCCTGCACTGGACCATACTAGAGTCTGTTGATGATGTCTAGAATACAATCATCATAATCTAGTAATAAGTACAATACAATCATCTTAATCTAAAGGTTAAATTGTTATAAAGAAATCTGATTCGGAAGAGTCGACATTTTGCCTCTAGAATCATTGTTGATGCAAGAATTTAAAAAGTGCCTATGAGTGAATGGGTGTATTTTTTCTATTTCTTTTTTCATAAATAATCTGTACTTAAGTTTAAATACCACTTAATAAATCTACTGTTACCTACATTGTTTAGCCAGGTACAAGATTTTCGACCTGTGAAACTTTGCAAAGACCTTTCCAGATTCAAGACAAAGCGATTCCTGATACAGATACAGCCAACTTTGAATTAGAATACAGAGAAACTCATTTATCCACCTCAATACAAACTGGCTGATAACATCTAAATGCCAGCCGTCTCATATTAAAAGGCCCAAAACGTCGATACATCGAAGATATAAAGAAATTTAGGATTGGCAAACGAAATGGTGTTTTCTTGTTATTTTTCGAGTGGCGTGTAGAAAACGTTGATTCTTTTGTCAATTTTAAATTGTAAACGCCATTTTGCACTTGTACAAAATAAACATGGAAACTTATCTATTTTCTACGGACAGTCAGGCGCTAGGCGGTTCATCCGGCAAAACCCTGAGTGCTGACAAAACCCGTAGATGCTGCACAAAGCATGATTAACTTTTGTGTCTCCCTCGTTGGAAGAAAATTAAACCTAGGACATTTGAATTTCTTGACCTGCAAACTGATCACGGCTTTACAGTGAAGTTTCAGTCAAAATATATAGAAGGAATATGAAAAAAAATTGGACCACCCATAAAAACTCAAATAAGCTTATCATTTACACAATATTCACATTCACATAATATTTCGTCCTATGTTTATTGGGGAAAGTTAATTATTTCTTATCACCAGTCACTTCTAAGTTTTTGTTATCGGTCAACAGTAAAATTTCACCCAGTATGTCACATCCCACATACTACCCCACAATTAGAAGATCCCCATGTCCAACTTTGGACTGTTGTGTTTGAAGGTGGTATGCCACATTTAGCAGAACTAAGCATTACCTTGCCTTACATTAGCAGGTGGGAGTTCCAGTTAATCCGAGCCGTTATGAGAGAGCAACAAAGAGATCACAGATACAGTCCGAGTCGACTGACACCCTTATTGGTGCAGGAAGTATAATCAGGACAACGGGAGATGCGGCATTGTGGGGCTACTACCTTCATTGTGAGCAAAAGTGACCAATCAAGATCGGCAAGCTGATGCGGCAGTGGGTGTGCACATAGATCGTAAAATCGACTGTCGATGAGGTGTGGAGATTCTGGGATGGTAGCCATACTTTTTAAAGTGTAACGTCGTCGGCGGTAGTACTATTATTTATTCTGTGGCGTCGGGCATCCTTCTAACAGCCAGACGTTGTGTAGGGCTTGGATGCAGTCTTAGGATAGAGTCGGCTTTGCGGCGCGGTATATGAAGACGCTTAGGCTTACCTATGTTCAGCATTGTGTCTCACGGCTGTCGCACTGATGACATTACTTATCGGAGATAGATACTGCGGGGAAAACAACAGTAAAAGAAGTAGGTACTCAGCATAACATGTAGGGACACAAAATAGAAACGCGCGCTGGTTTCATGATTTGTGCGCAGAACGAAAAAGAAATGTAAGAAATTTAAGGCTTTACCACAAAAAAGTTAGGCGAGCGATGAACACGTCGTGTTTATTGCATGAAGTTTTATTTAAAACACGCGTTCAACACTTGTCTAACTTCTTTGTGGTAAGGCCATTATACTTTAGTTTTCAAACCCTCATTATAATAATCTTATCTTAGTGTAAAAAGAGCTTTCACATACACTTACCACATCCACCTCAACCGTCATCCTCGCCCCATTCTTACATCCCATTAACTCGAAGAGTTTCTACAACAAATTCGAGTAGATGCGCAAACTTGTAACAATACACAACACTCAGCTAACTAGATGCCGTTATCTGCACTGATAGATCGGGGTTCGATTACCGGCGAGAATAGATGCGAAAGGGATTCAAAGGGTTTTGGAGAAATCGGTTTAAAAGTTTGTAAGGAAAGTCTTCTGGGAGGTGTTCAAAATGTGGACAAAAGTGACTGCGTTGATTTCTGTTTTGTACTGAATAACAAAAAAAAAAATACCTAAAACTTTATTACCTACATAAAGTAGATAGATATAATATTGGCATTATTAATTATATTTACGCAAATATGAAATGATATGAAAAATGTGGGCAAAGGATATTCTGATTTGATTTTAGCATAAAAAGATAAATTGCCATTTTTGGGAGTGATGCTTATTTCGCAATATCTACCACTCACCTTAAGAATATTTTCGTTTTGTGAACCCATTTTCAAAGTACCAACTGAAGCAAGCACTATTAAGTATTAATCCTGATATTTAGGAAATAGATATTTATCTATTTTGAGTTGTATTGACTCAGTTTTCTTTTTTGTTCTCCAACTGAGTCGACGCAGCGTTCTGTGATGCGCACCGCTACCGGATGCGTCCGTCAGCCCTTTTTACGTAAACCGTATTTGTATGAAAATAAGGTGTAAAATCGCATTTTCCTAACGCATGCGATAGCGTTGCACAAAAATAATGCACAAACGGCGTTATGTGTGTTTTCCGCCCTAGCAAAATACCTAATACTTGCGTTGTTCTATTCTGCAAGCACCCATTTGGTGGTGTGGTCCTATAAGACAAAAAGCTTTTCTGCTTTTCAATCCAATTGCCTCTTACTTTTTTAACACGAAATGCACCTATAAAACTCCTGTAAATATAAAACCGTCGATTAACAAGAACTTGAACAGATCTCTCCGCGATCAGTCTGTGTTTAATTAACATTCCTACCCCCGTCAAGACTCGAGACGTCTCGCAGTTTCACCGGTATCACTTCGGCACTTATTGACAGCCTGGGGCTAGGGAGGGGAATGACTTGCTTAAATATTCCTGAAGATGTTAAAAAATACGATATATCTCATATACCTACTTAACTATAAAAATCTTCTTCTGTGCTTGCCAATTTGTACATGATACAACTCATGAATAAACAGAAAACCTGTGTTCTATTGTAAGCTTTTTAGTTATTTCTTAACTTAAAAGTGCAAAATTGGCGTCAATGTCACTAAACGTGACCGAAAGTCTACGATAAGACACGTTACGTTCCGTAGCCATCGACATATTCGTAGCATTATCGGCGTGTCCACATACCTCCGGC